TTTATATTTTTGTTGAGTGTAGGTTCAGAGTTACAAGGCTTTCTGTCAATTTTCGACCAATAAATCATTAATCTGACCTTGAAGAGCTCTTTCGATGTAATCCAAATTTTTATGGATTGCTAACATGAGCCCACTCTACACTCCTACAAAGTTTTATCAGAATTCATTAAAACTTCTCAAGCTGTTTACAGACATCTGTACACGTGCCATGCAAGCATAACCTCCTTTGCCGAGGTAAGGACAGTTACATATCTTTGATGCTACTATGCAGCTTAGTGCAAGTCTTTAAAATTTTTCCATGCAGTTTTTGGATGACCTACTTACATGTGCTTGGTATTCTGTCCATTGCTCTCTGACTCCCATGAATTCCCACCTGTAGCCCACAGAACCGGTCTGCGAGGAGGAAGCTGCAGGCAAGTCTGAGGTCAAGCCAACTCTGCAGAGACAAGAAGTGATTATCATTCATGTTCTTTTCCCGTGACATCCGTTAGCCTTCTTCAGAGAAACTTTTTATTTATTCCCTGGGGATTTTTGATACTTTTCTTACTGACATCTCTGTATACTAAGCTTGCTCAGTGTACAAAGACTGTCTAAACTACAGGAATAAAAGAAAAAAGTCTTACGCTCCAGTGTTGGAGGATAATTTTGGACGCCTGCGCAGCTTCCTTTGTAAGCCTGTGATGAGGTTTTTCTGTGTCATGGCTACAAGGTGAAATGAAAACACATTTACATAGCTGTATAAAAGAGCAAGCTCACAATAATATATCACTATAAACACCACATACTGGAGAAATCAATCAAGTAGGGTGTACGGCCCACTGTAAATCTGAAGGTTCCCTGAGGGTTCGTGGTGAACTGCTGTTCAACTTGTCTACTGCTGACTGATGATGACGTGGTGTTGGAACCCTGAAGAGGAAGATGACAAGGAATACTCAAAGAAAACCTTCAAGTGAATTTAAGGAGTTAATTCCTGCAATTTTCCTCACCTGTGTTCCATATTCACACCACAGCTGGTCATCTCTGAAGTACCAGCCTATGTCTTCCGCCTGCCCCCGAGGAAGGAAGCTTAGTCTCTGCACCTTTATACCTGGATTATTAGCCTGTAACGTATCAAAATCTATGAACACCACCCTGTGGAAACATAAAAGATTAAAATGAAAAGTGTACTTCTCTGAATGTGCTCCTTTTAAAAAAGATTATTGATGCAATAATTTATTTTCTATTGTCCTGACACAAAATCTGTATCTGTATCAACACTTATTGTTGATAAAATAATATTTTTTTCTATAGACAGGACCTCTGTGGTCAAACGTTTATATTTAACATGCTGGCCTTGCATGGCGTAAACATGGCGTGAGGAGGGGTTCAAAAGTGGCTTGCATATGTGCAGGCTAAAGCAACTTTAGGATGCATAGAAGAACTGATGTCTTCCAGCGATGTTGGGTGATGTTGTGTTTGATCAGCTGATCCATTTCATTTTAGGGCTCAACTTGACTGAACCCTTTTTCTTGTAAGCGTACAGGATTTACAGGATTGTTCCACCCTACAGGAAAAAGTTAATTTATAATAGCCCAAAAACTGAGTTTCGGTTTACCTTTGTAAAATTTCAAATGGCATCTGACACATTTCCATTTCCATTCCCTGACCAACTCTCACTTTGTTAAAGTTGCTGATACTATCAGATATAATCACAACATACTGACCCATGGCTTGTATTGATACTGATTCCCTTGGCTCCTGGTTGGCAGTAGTGGGTCTCAATCACATGGTCATTTTCAATTTTCAGCCACTGATGGCCAACTGACAGCTGCCACTCATAATTCTTCCCATTGACTGGAAATAAAGATATGTTAGACAGAATGCAGTGATCTCATAAACCAATATCTTATAATACATCAAGTGTTTAAAAAGAGAATATGTACTGTTTTAAGAGCAATATTAGCTTATTTTGAATTTGAAGACACCAACACATTTCAAACATTTCAAATGAGGGCAACAAAAGGAAAATTAAGTAGTACTAAAAAGAAAAAACTGCTGGAGGAACATTTTGCAATTAATTCGTTTAAATGGCAACATGTCAGTGACATGAATCTAGAGAAATCTCTGTATGCAAATCTGAAATCAGTGTGGGATGCCCACGAGCCATCCTCAGACAGCACTGCATTAAAAACAGGCTGTTACTGAAGGTGCTGAGTGGGCTCAGAAACACTTTCAGAGATCACCGCACCATTCATACATGCAGGTTAAAACTATCATGCAAAGAAGCTACATGTGACCATGATTCTTAGGCTGAGGCAAAGTGGAGAACTGTTCTGTGATCAAACTAGTCAAAATCTAAAATTCTTTCTAGAAAACATCAGCCTAAAGAACAAATGGATGGTCTGGGTTGTTATCAGCACTCAGCTCGTTATTTACACACTGTTGTTAAAGGAAGAGGAGATGCCACCCAGCGGGGAGCATGGCCTTATCCCAACTTTTGAGATGTGTTAGTGCCATTAAATTCAAAACTAGACATTTTTTTGTTCTTAAAATGCTACATGTTCTCATTTTACTGTCTTCTGTGTTCTAAACTATGGGCTTATAGTGATAGAGGCAGTGTAGCAGGAAGTTAAACTGTCACGTCAAACAGACCTGGGGTGTTCTGGGGAATCTGCTCCTCCTCATTATTGTCCTGGAAGCAATTAATAGAAATTATGCCATGAACACAAGCTCGCCTGTTTTTTTTCCAGACCCTGTCAAACCCCTCCACATAGCACACACACACTTACCGTCATCTCATAATAAAAATCCACTGTGACAGAATGAACGCAGAAAAAACACAATCAGTCAGTCTTAAAAAGCCACTTCCCGATTAAAACTTGAAAAAATAGTTTCGTTAAATCGCTGTATTTACTTGCGATCGAGGACCGAAGCCGGCGGATAGTTTCACTGAAACGATGGCTTACACTTTCGTTTCTGGGCTTCAGCTAATGCAATTTAGCGCGTACATAGGAAATGCTAGGTGGAGCTAAAGTACCGATAATGACGCTCCCCTAAGGCTATCTCTGGAGAGTGTACACTACAGTGGTTTGGTTTCTTTTCACAGCTCTTTCATGGTATTAAAGGAACAGTTCACCACAAAATTACCCTTTTGCACTTCCCTGTGGCCTACAATGTTATGAGGAAGAGTAGACAACGCTGATATTTGGTGTGAACAAAACTACCTGCAACTTAATGTGGCAAAGTTTAAGGAACAGGAACTTTAAAATATTCCTATTGCTTTACAAAGTTAAGACATGAGAAAGTTACATGTTACCAAAAAGGCTCTGCACTGGTTGTTGAAATTCAGAAGGACTGAGTTCTTTGACTCTTTCATATTGTGATGCTGTTTAATTAACATGACTGTTATGAAACAGCGCTTCTCCATCCAGTTGCTATTTCCCTTGCTAATCAATTAACTGTGCATGAGACTTCGTTGTTTCCCTTCCTTACTCTGTCAGCCCACTGCTGCCCATCTCTTCTCTCACTAACACCTACCTGTAAACAACACCCTACCCTCTGAGTTTTGCCCCCTCCCCTATTTTGTCAATGGCTTAGAGTTGTCTTACCTTCACAGACAAAATCTGTAAGTGTGTCTTAATTATGTGTGAGTGCCGCCATTTATATGTCACACCCCCCCGCTGTCAGTTCCCAAAGGCTGATTCTGTTCATCTGGACGTTGCGTTTTCAGTGGGTGAAACGTTTCGTCATGCATTGGAGAGACTTCTTCAGTCTCAGCTGACTGCAGGTTTCCCCAACCTTATAAATTGGTACATTTGCACAATGACTGAAACCAGCACCATTGAAGGGACAATGGGCTGTGAGGTCAGTTCCTATTCTGTACACTTATATAGGTGTTCTGTTAAAAGTTATTCATAAATTATGACGAAAGTTACTCATTTACCACTCGTCTCTTGATCATATCGATAATTAATCTCTTGTTTTGTTTTTGTACAGTTGGCCATAATGCTTTAATTTAGACACTGCTGGTGTAACTTTGCTTTACATACTATCCCGAGTGTGTTTGTGGTAGCATTAGTTACATCCATTACATCCATGCATATGTTTTTAAAGCAAATACTACTAACCATCAGGTCATTTGAATTTTCTTCTATTCACAGGTAAATTTCTAATAAATTATGTTTGGTTACGTTGCTTTGGTTATACTTACCATTTTTGTCCATTTGTTGAGGTTCTGTATGTGTGGGAGGGGCCACCCCAGTACTTCCTACTTATATAGCGTCATGATGTCATTGATTGCATCACAGGGTGCAACCAAATGCAGGGTTTTTCATTGTGTATAGAATTGTTTATTTTCCTTAAAGTAACATTTTGAGTTGTATTGTATGCAGTGTTTTACTTTTCAAACCATTTAGCTGTGTAAATGAGTTTGTCAGTTAGATGCATAATCTTATTCCTGTTTTTTGTTTAGATCATATTGTTTGGTCTAACCTATTTTTCAGTGGTAGAGAGTAATGAGATTCAGGTGTATGTAAAGTCCTGTATAAAGCAAGTGAGGTTTTGCCTACCGAGGTGTTTTTAAAAATGGTATAATGGAGATGTCAGAAATAAAGTACAATTAAAAGAAATTGATGCTGATTCCTCGCCACTTGGTCTACACTACCCCAAAGAAATATTTATATTCATTTACATTTCTGACTAATTTAGTGTTGACTCAACAAGAATCCAAATTTTATTATAATTAGAAAATAGGACATTTCTAATTCCCATCAAACTCTTAAGCCACGATCGCCCTCTGTAAATGTAAATGTAAGCAAGCTGTTGAAAAAATATTTGTTTAAAACTGGCCATTGAGGTTCTGGCGTCCTACTTGCATACAAAAAAGGGGAAAGTCTTGGTGTGTTGTGATTTTCAAACATTTTTTATTACATTTAGAGAATAACAAAGATGCAGTAGTCTGTTCTCCCAAATCAGTGAAACCCGTTTCTGGTGCATTTGTGCAAAGCCAAATAAACCACAAAAAGCAAAAACTGTGGCACAATGCAAAGAGGCACAGAGACTTTTCAAGGCAGTTTGTGTGTTAAAAGCATAAAAAGATCTCAAAGGTAATGTGCAAAAAGACCTCGAACTAATATTGCACAGTTACATCTAATTTTTCTACATTAAAAAAAAGGCAAATGTATCATATCCCATGAATTCAAAGTGTTTGTTATACACTTACTTTTGTTTAATTATTGGCTATAAGAACAAATTTTCCCCTCCATCCCCATATGGAAGTGTGGAAAAAAAATGCTCACTGTGACCTGAGTTGATAAGATGAATAATTTAAACAACCATGATGCTAAAAGGCAAGTTGGTAGAATGCATTATTGGAGTGGAAGATTGTCAGGCAGCATTTAAAAGTGTCCTTGTAAACTTCACCCATGACAAGGCCTGCAATGAGGTAAATTCTGAAATTCAACAATAAAAAGGATGTGTTAACCATCCAAAAATAAATCTCATATAAATCTCAAGTTAGAGGAACGCGGCAGCATCGTGGTTACGTTGCTGCACAGTCTTCTGGAGGTCAGGAAATCATCTTGATGGCTCACACCAGCACACGTCTCACCCTGCGTGTGTGATTGGTCCTGACGTTGGTTTGGATCATTGCTGTGGAAAATCATAAACAAATCAACAAAAGTCTAATGTTAAATAAATGTTACATCACTTTTTCATATTGGAACAGGTAGATATGGATAGTCAGTTGTTTATTAAAATGCCTCTAAGAGCCAACAATGAATTATTATTTCGAGTTTTTTACTACAGGATTAAAATATAAAAACTCAACCTCCAAAGTCAAGATTGTAGGATTGTCCTGCCACTGTGAAGGGCATGGTGCCTTTGTTGTTTTGTTGGTACTTGCTCTCAATGTCATCACTGGTTACTGAGCAGTCAGTGGAAGTCCTTTTCTGTTGAGACAAAATCCACAGACAAACTGTGATGATTTATGTCAATGCAATAACTCAGAAATTGTACTTTGAATAATCCTAAAAATGACATCCACTGCACAGATGACATACCCTGTGTTTGAACTTGTGCCATTTTCCACTGTCGCCTTCAAATTCCCACTGTGGCTTAGTGCCCAAGCTAAGATTCTGGAAACCTGAGGTTGCTAGAGCAACTCTGCGACAACAAAATCAAAAATATTTCATAAAACAGAAAACTATGTTAAATTCTCTCATCTTATCTTCTTGACAATTTTTAACTGAACAAAAATCCTTGAGGAAAATTAACACTCACCCCCTGACTGCTTGTGGTTGCCGGTACGTAGGTCGACGGGTGACTTTCCTCTTTCTGTTTTTACTCACCTGTTGCATTTCTAAGCAAACAAACAGAAATAAGGAACAATGACTGTTAAGAAAAAGCTGGAATTTAGCTGGAAGGGTGTTACAAATTTACAGATTAGTGAATACACTTCACCTTTAAATTTGAGCTCCAAAGTTTCACCATTGATGTTAAAAGTAAAGGAGCTTGTTGGATTTCTCTGAAACTTTTCCTCTATGTCAGAGCTCTTCACAGGAGTGGAGACACCCTTTGAATCCTGTCCGCGAGGGAGAGAAGAATCATTACCAAACAGACAAAGGAGAACAATTTCCATTAACTTAAGCAAAGATCTAGTTGCTATCTACCTTGGCTCCATACTTGATCCAACGACGACCCAACATGCAGTACCAAATCCACGCAGTGTTACCGTCATCCAGGCGTCTCACTCTCAATTTCTTCCCAAGAACTTTCATCCTTTTAAAGTCTATGCTCACCGCCCTGTAGAGAGAGGAAAGTTGAAGCATGTAGTGACTACAGTGTGCCTGGAAATAAAAAGTTCTTCATAAACTCATTGCTTACCCGTATGATGTGTTGTATATTTTGATGCTTTTGGTGTGGGGCAGCGAATACTGGGCCTCAAGGATGTGATCATTTTCAACATCTTTCCAGCCTCTTCCGTTATTGAGCTGCCACTGGTAGCATCGGCCATCAGTAAGCCTCTGGTCTGGTTAGAAAAACAAAACAAAAAGACATTATATATTACATTGTAATTAGTGACTTATTACTGGACATTAAAGCTGCTCTAATATGGCTCGAACATGTAAATATATGTATAAGGTAAAATGTGGCTCTTGCAGCTATTTGTTAGGAACTAGCTGATATTGTTGGAGACCAAAGTGTTAACTGTCAGCTAGATGGCCTCACACTGGACTGTAAAATACTTTGATAAACAGAGGAGTTCATGGTCGATTCAGGGGCTGCAAGGCGCCCAAGGTCTCGTGGCGGTAAAACAAGAACAAATTATCAGCCCTCCACCACAGGAGAAGAAGTTCTCTTGAAAAACGCCCATACTATTCAGTTTTTTTCTAATTCTGCTTTTGTGAAATTTAACATTTAACATGCTTACTGAGGCCTGTAGAGGCCTGCAAGCCTGAAATGTAGCTGTTTGGTTTCTTTGAGCATTGCACAGTTTGACATTGTGGGAAATTTAGTGGAACATCCTGTCCTGGGAAGACTAAAAACTGTCTTGAATGTTTTTCACTTGTGAATAATCTTTCTCGCTTAAATTTAAAAAAAAGAAAAAAGAAAACGTCTTGTGGCGATAAAACAAACAACTAAAAACCCCAAAAGCAAATACTCACCATGACTAGATGATGACCGATCTGGAGTCCTGCCGCTTGCACTGGAGGGCACACCTTGACTTACAGTGTGGTTTAGTCTACATTTGGAGCCGTAACGACAGTTTCCTTTAAGAGCATACTTGCAAACGTGTAGGTAAGCACACCTTTCTCCGTCCCTACAGTTTCCTTTGTTGTAAAACTTGCAGGGTACAACATCTTCCTCATTGTCTTCCTCATCGTCTTCCTCATTGTCTTCCTCATCTGATGGTTCAGCGCTGTCTGACTCATTGCTGACATCAGAACCATAAGTACTTTCATCGTCAGCCTCTGGACAAAACAACAACAAAAAATGCATGATATGCTTTCATATTTTGTTCCTTCGATATACAGCTAAATTCTTTATTTACTTTAGATACATCCCTGAATATATAAAGCAATATGAACAAATACAGGTACATATTTTTGGGCAACTTTGCTACAAGAATGGAAAAGCATAACAAAACATACAGTTCACTGTGGAACTCGACCTGCATTGAGGCCTGAATTCAACTACAAAGGGTAACTCTGAGCCAGACTCTGAAGGCACAGAAACAACATCTGATCTCACTAATGCTCAGGGCTTTGTGGTAGACCTTTCTTGTCAGCGCTGAGGATGTTAAAGTACATATGATACTAAGCAAAAGTCTTGAGTTACCCCTAATTTGTTTAGCTTTTGCTAGTAGAGTGGGGAAATTGTTCCAGAAACGTATTGAAATGTGTGAAAACACGCATGGAAATACAATATTGTCAGTGTTTGATTTTACCACCTTTATACTTTAACACAGCCTTAACTCTGTTAGGAAGGCTTTTTTTTTTCATTTCTTTAAATAGTCTTCAGGAAAAGCTCTCCAGGCTTTTTAAGGGCATTCACATCTCTTCTTTGGATGTTGGTCTGCCTTTTGTTCCATTTTCTGTCAAGATGATCCCACACTGCTTCAAAAGTGTTGAGGTCCGGGCTCTGGGGATGCTGGTCTATTGTGTTTTTCTAGCTTTTACTACACTGAGTGTGTTTGGGCTTTTTGTCATGCTGAGAAACAAACCCAGTGCCAATCAGCTGGTACTGCATGGTGGATTTAAATCTGACTGCACTTTTCTTATGTTCATAATTCAAATTGATGAAACAATTTTGACAAGATCCCCAACACCACTGGCTGACATGCAGCTCCGAAGTATGACAGAGCCTCCGGCATATTTTACAGATTCACAGTTGTATCTCTCTCTTGATCTTTGCACATATTGATGATGATTAGAAACATAGATTTCAAACTTGGATTCATCACTCTCTAAGACCCGCTGCCACTGATTTTCAGTCCCTGTTGTTATGTAATTTGGCATACCTCAGGCTTTTCTCACTGTTTCCCTTCTTTAAAAATGGCTTCTTCTTCTTCCGCTGAAACCATTTGTGATGAGGCTTCAGCAAACAGCAGATGGATCAATGAATATTTTACCCTTAATATCTTAAGCACATGACATTCATAACTTGAGTTAGGCGCCTTTTGTTTTCTGGAATGACTTAACATCGTTAAGCCAATGTTAAGTGGCTTAACAAACAAAAACAATGGTCAGGTACAAGCCCTGGACTGTAAATGAGTGATAAAGCAGCCAATGTCCAAAGGAAAACCATCAGAAAGTCTAGAGTAGCATTGTTCAATACCGCTTTAACAGCCTGGCTCCTTGGAAGCAAACTATTGAGAAGTGAGGGGTGGCTCAATAATTTTGTACACTACAGTATTTTTTATTTTGAAATAACGTATGACAATATAGTTTCGATATGTTGGTAATAAAGGCAGGCTGAAAACTTGTAAAGCTGCATTCCCTCACTTGTTGTTGAGCTGCTTTGTCCCTTTCACTTTAGAACTATGTTTAGCTATTATTTTTTCACCTGCTCCACCTTTCTATCTAATGTATGTTAATTATTTTATATATATGTATAAAATAACTTTTACAATTCTTCTGGTACTATTAGAAAAATCTGAAAACAAAGTTTCTGTGCCGGTTTGTATTGCAAATTAATAACTTGTTTATCTGCTGCCCCCTGCTGGCTAGTTAAACATGCTATTAAGAGTTTCACACATGTTAATAATATACGTTTATAAAAACGTATAAATAAATAAAAAAATGCATACTAACTTTAATTTAATTATGTAAATGAGGAATTAAAACATAACTATTAAAGTCCAGCTTTCAGGTTTTATGTAGGCATTCTATGCAATCGAGCTTCACAGTAAATGAAACAGAAAGTAAACGTCTAATTCTATACAATGACGATCAGTGTCTCAGAATAAGAGTTCAAATCTAGACTATTGGTCTTGTTAAAATATTAAATATGCTGCACATTTGCACATTTTAGGCATGTTTGACCTCACAGAAAATCTTTATGGAAACTCTGATAGAATGAGAGCTGTTAAAAATAATTCGCATGTGATTTAAAGGGAAATATAAACAAACAGTAAACAAAATACCACCAGACTTTATAAAATATATGAACAGTAAAATATAGAAATGTTACGAGGAACATAGCGCGAAAGATACTCACTGCAGGAGGAGGCCATTCTGCTTTCTGCAAAACACTTTCGTTTTCCTTTGGAAGAGCCTCTCCCACATCTGATTGCCAAGAGGCTGGCACTATATATACTAGGCTAGAATAATAATGTGATCTTAATAAGGCCTACCCAATGCAACAAAGTTGCCCAAAAATAGAGTAAACGTGTTAAGCAGCTTTTGAGAATTAGGTTTAGTGGGCAGTAGTAAACATGTGTTGGTATTTTCTACACTTTGGGAAGCAGATAACTGATGAGAAACAAACAATAAACAAACACCGTTACAAGGATAAAGATAGGTGCGGAATTGAAATAATATGCAATTCTCCCGTACAATGGAACAGCATCTTTGCTTGTGCAAAATGTTTATCTCTGTATTAAAATCTGCAACATAACATCATAGATTTTTTTTCCTATGGTGTATTATGAGATACATTTTGTTAACGCTAAACTAAACTAAAATGAAATAAAATGAAATAAAAGTGAGCTGACTCTGTCCCTGGAGTCTCCCTGTCTACAGGTGGCGGTAGTACGCTCTTTTCAAACACGAGAGGAAGAATGTAGGGTCCCTCGCAAGGAACCAACAACGGGGGCAAGGAGTCTTTTCCTACAAAGAACGCTCGATAAACGGGCTGACACCAAGTGCGAGAAATAGGAAAAATGGAGTACGCAGACCACGAGTACACCAGCAGCACTTGCGATATGCATACGCCCGTGGATTTCACATATAAAAGTAAGGACAAACGACAGAAAGTGATTAAATAAGCTAACTATAGCTTGGAGCTAGCTTGCGCACGTAGGAAGTGAGAAGTACAAGTTATGCTGCCTTCAT